GGAAACACTTCCTCACAAGGTTTACTAGGGCTTATTTGTTACAGCTTGGTTTTATTTTTTGAAGATCCATTCTCTGTAAAACTGTGATCTACTTTATTGGTACAGAGAGCTGATCAAGACAGATCACTTGGTTGTGTACTCAGCATTCGAACATTTTGGATTGAAAAAAACCTGATGGATTTTCCTCTCAGCTGATCTGAGCACTTCTCACCGCCATCTGAGCTTGGCATAAACATTGGAAATTCCTTAAGTGATAGAAAATTGAGAAAACCAGGACTTGAAGGAATAATATCAAGTCAGTTCCTTACACAAGATTTCTTAAACACAGTATACAAGTACAGTACTCACACAAGCAGTTCAATTCTACTGTTTGTTGAAGTTTAAACTACTTCTTTGTAAGAAAATGGCTAATTCAGATTGAGATAATTTTGTTTGCTAAGAAGGCAACTATTTCAGAATTATTGAAAACCACTGAATGAAACCAATTCCGGAAGGCAGGGGAATTTTTCATTGAGAGAGATATTTTTATTTAAATAATGTCACCTGTTCTCTATCAGAACTTATTTTTCAATGAACTTACTAGCATATTAAAAATCAGATTGACGTATTTATGAGCTATTTCTAGTATCAAAATCATAAAACAGCTAATTGCAAGTAGGTAATTCTTACTAAAAAATTCAACTCTACTATTTGGTAAGCACAGTGTAGAAAGGATTTGTTAAGGGGGGACATCTTTGGCTAATCATGTCTCTTTTCTAATTCTGAAACTCCTTTGTCAAATAAGGAAAATAATTGACAATGTCAACTCTCAGCATCAAATGCTGACCTTTTATATTGCCCATGTTTTTTATGTATAGTACAAACTACTCAGTTAGTTGGAAGCATAATTTAATTCTCATTTTCTATTAGCTGGCAGTCAGTTGGTATCTCCCAAAGTTAAGACTGCTGGTAGCAGCAAAGACGTTCTATCAAAGTTCTACCATTTAATTGTAAAATGCTTATTATCCTTTCCAAAAACATCCTAATGCAGTTTCATTTCTGCCTTGAAACTCATATGAGATGACAGCTTATTCCCCTCTAACTGTGCACAAATTATTATCAGAGAAACATCACATTGTCCATGATTTGAAGCACCAGCAACCACACAGGAAAAGATGTTCTTTTCAGTCAAACCTTCATTCATTCATGCATGCATTCATTCATTCATGTTCAGCTGAAAGAGGAGCAAATATACAGTTGCCAATGCACAGAGCTTCTGAATTATCAATACTTATCATTGAGCTATGATATATTGGGCCATGGGCAAATATTGGAAAACAACATGATTTAATTTGCTGTCACCATAAGTGAGCTATATAAATGATTCTGACTAATACTGTAACGTACTTTTGTTGATCGTACAACAGCTGCCTTTGTGTTTCTTAAAGTATGAAGTATTTTACACTTCATAGCAAGAAAAAAGTTGAAAGTGTTTTGTTGTTTAGAAGCTATGCTTTTATGATTTGTCCCATTTGCATACCATCTTATATCTGACAGTCCTTCACAAATAAATGAGAATCTTCTGCATAAATTAGAGCAAGCCTTGAAGCAATTGTTGCTTTCTTTACTGATCCATGCAAAATCAATCCTTGTGTACACGTAGGATTTTTCCTGACTTGCTGACAGAACACCACCATTGTAATGACTGCCAGTGTCAGGATCAGAGTACTGATATATGTAGAACCATTAAAATACATAAAAGTGTTAACATTCTGAGTCAGCCTTCAAAAAACCCTGGATCGTGTGCCCCTCAGTTAGTCTATGATTATTACATGGGAAACAACCACATCTGAATAGCAAAAAGTTAAAAGGCCAGTTTTACTCTCAGAGCAATTTATTTCTGTCTAACTTGCCTCAAACCTGTCCTTTTTTTTGCATTTAAATGGAAGTTTCAATCATTTCTTTAGAAAGCATGTAAAGAAATTCAGGATTCACTGGTTTTAAAAGTGTTGCATCAATGTAGACTGTTTGATATCAAGTATATGGGATTTCAGATTTCAACCATGGCTCTGAAGCAAAGGTTCTTCAGTGCTTCAAACAGCTGCTCCCATTTATTTACATCACTCAGACCAGGTTCTTCGAACTGCAGTGTCAGTAGTTCTGAGGAAGTATTTGAAATCTTTCAAACAGTTCGAAATGGTTCAACACTTCCAAGAAGCCCTTTTAACGCGTCCACCCACGGAAGCAGGATTTTGTGACCGTGGTTCAAAGCCATACCCTACCGACAGCCCTGGTCGAACCTCTGTGTGAGACATCTGAGAAGCCATACGCTTGGCAAGCTATTTATCATGCGAACAGGAGAAGGGTACAAGAGAGTAAATTTGTGTTTCACCACATAAGCCCCAAATTTGAAGGCTTTCTTGTTACCTTCGCATCTGCATTTCACTTTCCAGGCGAGACGGGCTGCCCTGACCCCCTCTGAGGGGGGCAGGGGCGGAGGAAAGGACAGGCCACGCACCTCCTCCCGTCGGGCACCGTCCGCACGATACCGACTAGCCCCGAGGCGCGGTTACCAAATGGCGGCGACCCTGGCCGAGCCGGCGCCTCGGAGCTGCCCGGCCGGTCGCCGCTTTCTGAGAGAAGGCACCCCGCTCCCGCCATGGCCGCCGGCACCGTCCGCACGCCCCTTGCAGCTGCCGCGCGGAGCCTGCCACAGGCGGGAAGCCCCGGGCCTCCCTCTTCCACGGCTCCCGGCTGGTGCTGACAAGCGAGGGCGGTGGGACAGAGTCCCCCATCGCCCCCCGTCAGCCCAGGTGGAGCGGCGAGGGCGCCCAACACACCTCACCCGCCCCTGGAATGGGCTCTTCTAGCCCTCCCCCGCCCTCCCGAAATGGGCGCTCCCAAGCCCTGCTCCCGCCCTGCCTCCTGCCCGTGCCGGGAGTAGGCGCTCCCCCTCTCCTCTAAGGCCGTCCTGCCCCGTAACCTCACTTCCGGGGCGGCCATTTTGGGAGGTCGGCGCTCCGTGGCTGGTCGGTGCGGAGGGGGCGGGCCCGGGCGCGGGTCGCAGCGGCTGGTGACAGCGGCAGGGGCGGG